TGCTAGTTGTTCGACAAAATGCCGCAGTGAACATACGAGGACTCAATTTAGTTTTACTAGGAAGAGAACTGCATAAATGTTGTTTGTGTCATTTTTTTTTTTTCAGTATTTAGAACCCATTTCTTTTTATAATAAAAAGAGAAAAGTAAGCTAATTACAATACATTTTGATGATATATTACTTCCAAAAAGGACACCCCACAAATAATTACATGCATCTACATAAAATACAAAGCAATCAAAAAAAGAAGGAAAAATTGACATGTTATTGTAAATCAACAATGTATTCTCACACCTTTGCTTCATGCATGTTCTTCTCTAAACCAACCCAAACAAACAAACAAAAAAAAAACAAGTGAAAAAACAAGATAAAAGAAGAAGAAGAACAAAGAAAAAAGAAAGAAAGAAAGGTAAGTTTTGCCCAAACAAAAATGGATTATGTTAACAAAAGCCCTTCACACTGCACTTGATAGCCCCGGCAGACCGCGTGAGCCTGCCCACGTACGATCCGGGCTTGAACTTGATCAAGTTCCGGTGCGTTAACGGGCTCTTCTTGTGCTCGAGTGGCGCTCCCGACTCGGTAAAGAAGGCTCCATTCGTGAACAAGTCCCCTTCCGACCGCCATTGCCACCTTTTCCACTCCTCGGGCGTCGCGTAATCTCTCTTCGTCACCTGATGAACCGAATTCATTAATTCAATCGAGAAAAACCCAATTCACAAATTGTTAATGAAAATAATGTAGGGTGTGCAAACTCAATCCCACATCGAAAAATTAAAGGTTCCAAGTCCAATATATAAGTTTGGTGGGCTACTCCTTCTATTGCCAATTAGTTTTAGAATGGAATCCCATTTGGATTTGTATGTTGGGCTTGATGTAAAACTGGGTTTTGAGTTGTTGGTCCCAACAAATAAGATGGCTATAAAACTCAATATACATTTTTTATGTATATGTGTTTATGTTTTTTTACCTCCTTGTATTGGAAATCATCGGCCTTGAACCTGTTGCCTTGGCTGATGATTGTTGGGTGCGCGCTCCCTCCGATGGCATACAACTTCCAGTGCGAGTAGTCGTTGTTCACGACGTGGGCAAATCCCCACCTGACACGTGGCATTCTCTGTATGCACCCGATCCCGAACCTGTTGAACGCGATCGTCACCTGCATGATCGCATCCTTCGCATCCGTGTCGTGTGCCCCCAACAACATCACCTGCACAAATCCCCAATCGATTTCGATTTGAAAAGTTTCGTACAAAAAAAAAAATAAAAAATAAAAAAATCCTACGCTTACATAATTTATTGACATAATATGTGGCAGGATGAGATCTGTTGATTTTTGTAAAGTTGATGTGACGTGTGAAGCTACATGATTTTGACAAATTTTCAGTTACGGTAGCATATGATCCATACATATATGTATATATGTATATGTATAATGTTATGTTAGACATAATTTATTGACATGATATGTGACATAAATGGTGTGTAGGAATAGGATTTGCTGATTTTAAAGTTGATGCGATATGTAAAACCACATGATATTATGTCAGACTTTATGTCAACTATGATGAGGTGGCGACTTACGTCGTTGTGGTGGTTGAACTTGCAGTTGGAGATTGTGATGGCGGTGGATCCCATGATGACGTCGATGAGGCCGTCGGCCCCCTTGGATAGCGACACGTGGTCGATCCACACGCGGCTCGACCCGTAGATGCTGATGGCATCCCCGTCGCTCTGCGTTCGAAGTCCCACGTGGCCAACCGAGTCTCGAATCATCCCACCCGAGGCCACCACGATGTCATGGATCCACACGTTGTGTATGATTATGTTGCGCACGAACTGTATCGTGATCCCGGCTCCGTACGCGATGTGAACCTGCACGCCTCGACCGTCGATCGTCTTGTCGCTAGTCATGATTAGTTCTTGCCGGAGCTTAATCACCATACTATGGGAGAAGACGATCCATAGAGGCTTCGACTGGATGACCGCGTGGCGGAGGGTTCCGGGACGCGGGTTGTCCACGCTGTCGTCTGACGCGTCTGTGACCAAGTAGTACTTTCCGTTTTTGCCTCCGAAGGTTTCGTGGCCGAAGCCGCGCGCGCAGTCGGCGAGCTTCTTTCGGTTCTTGGCCCAGTTACGGTCGCACCTCCAACATCGGTCGATGGGGTTCGTGGCCTTGCAACCTTTGTTTCCCCTCAATTGCCTTCTCGTGTCGTTTCCACCGACCAAACTCCTACATTGTCACGACCCAATAGTCAAGGTGATGTGATATGTAAAATAGTAAAAGGTCGTGGCACGTGTATATATATTATATAAAAGTCTGTGTCATCCTTTATGTTACTGTATATATATGATTCTAACAAAATAAATAAAATAGCAAAAGATCGTAGAACGTGTATATTATGTGAAAGTTTATGTCATCCTTTATGTTACTGTAACAGTAGCATGATTCTAACCGAATAAATAAACGTGAAATTTAATTAATTAAGGAAAGTTCGAGTATATATATGTATATAAAATTCGTACTCGCCAACTAGCTCGTTGAATTCGTCGGTTAGGTCTTCCGGATGAGGGTTGAATGCCTTTAATGACTCGGCGTACGACTCGTTGGCTTGCTTCTGGAGGTACTCGTCGAAGACCGCAATCTTGGCGCTCGATTTGGGTAGCGACACAGCCAACTGCAAGACAATGCATAAGAAAAGTAAAACCGGCCTCGACATCTTTTTTTTTCGTAAATTGTGTTACGCGACTATTTTTGTTCTTCTCTCGCTGCTAGCGAATCACTGTATAAAAAATGTTGCTACAAAATCATCAGTGATTCGCTATTTTTTTTTTTTTTGTTTTTGACCGTTTTACTGTTCGTCCCACCAGAAAAGCACAAATGATTAGAACGAATTTAGGAGTATTTAATGGGGAAAAATTTTGGTGTTGAATAAAATGAAAACCACAAAGAGGTCAACATGGTGAGAAATATATGGCGGGAAGAGTGTTGAACCATGGAGAGAAAAAAAGTAAAAAGGCTGTTAGTAGGTCATAAGAGCAACAAATTTTAGTCAGGAAATTAGACTGTAAATTTATGGTGGAGCTGTTTGTTAGGAGTTAGGACAAACATTTCACATGAGTCAAGTATGAGGTAGAGATAAAATTGTCTTTAATATACAAATTCTTGAGCCAAAATATTCTTATTTTGCACCTAATATATTGATCCAACGGTTAAAAACTCGATGACTACATTGCAATCACGGTTACGACGACATCTACCCTCCTTACCGACAATGGGCGTTATTGGATATAAAAATTTCTGGTTTATATTATCAATTTTTTATTTATAACTTTTTAACTTATAATTTAATTCAATTCAATTCAACTTTCTTTATTATTATCAATATAATTAAATAATATCCATCAATTATTCTAATACATTACTATTTACTCTTTCACACATAATTTTTTTTTTTTTTGGGTA